ATATAAAGCCAGGTGTGGTGGTGCACACTTGTAATCTCAACACTCAGGAGGCTGAGGCAGGAGGATCTCTGCGAGTTCAAGGTCAGACTGAACTGCATAGTGAAACCCTGTCTTAAATAAGCAATATTTGAGAATCCAGCTGTCTTCTTTTAAACCAGACATTGAAGTGACTTGCAAAAAGGTAAAACAAAGCCCCTCCTCTCGCTATCCTTGTTTTGTTGAAAAAGGGTTTCACTATGTAGTTCAAGCGAGGGGGCTGGGGATATAGCTCAGTGGCACAAGGCCTGCCTTCCAAGCATGAGGTCAGGAGTTCAATTCCTGGTACCACTAAAAATAAAAAAATAAAAACTTCAACTATGTAGTTCAAGCTGGTATCCAACTTGTAGCCATCTTCTTGCTTCAGCCTTCCCAATGCTGAAGATTACAGGCCTGCACACCACCCCCCAACACTATCTTTTGTTTGGAGAAAGTATTATTTTTAAATTTACTTGTGCTATAGATTTGTATACTTCAAAGGGAGTAAAGTGGTAAACTGTAAGTTATACATTTTACCACATAAATTTTTTTTTTACCACATAAATTACATTAATATGTAGTAAATTACTATTAAATATCTTTAAATTTTGTGTTTATTTCTGAAATAGTAACGGATCGGTGGGTAAACCTACATAAACAAAAGCTCTTTGGGGTCTACCACCATTTTTAAAAGTGTAAATAAAGGCAAAATTTAAAAAATTTTTGAGAACCCCTGATCTAGCCTCCCCACCCCCACTCCAAGACAAGATTTCCCTTCACCACGAATTTTAAAGGCTAGCGGTCCCGGAACTCTCCTTAGATGTCACCCAAGGACAAAAACCTCCCAGGGAAGTGGGCAGGCACTGAAAACAAGCAACCTAGGCTTGAGTCACCTCTGCCCATTTAAAAGCTCTCCACAGGGGCTGGGGGTTTAGCTCAGCGACAGAGCGCCTGCCTGGCAAGCGCGAGGACGTGAGTTCGATTCCCGGTACCGGAGGAAAAACAAAACAAAAACAAAAAACAAAAAATAAATAAAAATAAAAGCGCTCCCCGTTCCCCCCACTTCCGGTTGCCTCCAGCCTCTGCCACCTCCCCAGACCGAGGCAGCCCCCCCCCTTACACCTCAGAGAGCTGGAGAGACCGAGGGGAGCCCCCGCTGTGTGGTGCCTGGTTCACAGGCTGAGCGGGGTGTGACGTGGGGGGGAGCCGAGCTGAGGCCGAATTAACTCCTGGGTAAGTGGGGCGGGTGCGTGCAAATGGCGGGTCGGGGGAGCGGGAGCGGGAGCGCGCGCGGGGAGTCGCCCAGCGGTCTCGGGCGTCCGCTCAGCGCAAGCCGGGGACAGGGCCTGCCCTGGAAAAGGGCCCCGCGGGTCCGAGCCGGGGGACCAGGGCTGCGGTAGCCCCGCTCCGTCCCGGGGAGGCGAGGGCCGGCGGAGGCGGCGCCGGGCCGAGGGAGGCGTCGAGCGGGGCCTCCGGGAGGGGGTTTCCGCCCGCACCGACACGCCGGGCTCCGGCAGCAGCTCCAGCATGCAGGCCACGCAGACGCGTGGGGACACCGGCAGCAGCCAGCGCGGGTCATGTCGGTAATGGGCTCTTTCTAGGAACAGCACGGCGTCTTCGTCCTTCCCGAACTCCGCGGAGCAAGCCGCCAGCGACCGCCTCACAGCCATCTCCGCCTCTCACACTGCCGCGCCGCGCCTTTTCCCGCGCAGCCTGTGCGCAAGCGCACTTGGAAGAGACCTGCGCACACGCACGTGTGTGTAGTGCGCCTGCGCGGGCCGAGTTCGCGGCTGCCTCTGGCGTGCGCTTGCCCTTGAGAACAGGTGGTGGCTGCGTGGACGTTAGAGAGGGTGCGGGGATGTCCAAAGCAGTTGCTCTTAGAACCTGCTGGGTTTTTGCTACACCGAAGTGGGAAGGCATTTATAAAATAGCTGTTAATAGCCTTGGAAAGAAAAAAGAGAAAACCGTTTTTCTACTCTTTAAAAAAAGAATACGGTCATGGTGGCACACGCCTGTAATCTCAGCGCTTTAGGAGGCTGAGGCAGGAGGATCGCAAATTGGAGTACTGCCTGGGAAATTTAGTGAAAGCCTGTCTCAAAATAAAAAATAAAAAGAGCTGGGCATGTAGTTCGGTGTTAAGGCCCTGGGTTCAATCCCCGGTACAGAAAAAAAATAAGTGATCTCAGAGATTTTTCTCTACAAGTTATTTATATTATCTTACATTTCCATTGCACCTTTCTCTCAAAGAAGCTGAGCCACTTCCATTAAAATATTCTTTCACAGAGGGCTAGGACTTCGAGTGCATAAGGAATGCTGAAGAAGAAACATCACTTTACCACACTATTAACAACAGTCTGTCAATGACCAGGGACTTTCTTAACGTTCCCAGCTGACATTCAGAAACACTGTAAAAGGGGAAAAAGTGCTCTCCATGAGGAATCACTAGGAAAACAGCCACCCACTAGAAGATTATGAAATGATCTTTGAGCAAGTAAACACTCTTTTTTTTCTTTTTAGTTTTTTGAGGCGAGGTTTCACTATGTAGCCCAGGCTTGCCTCAAACTCATGATGTTTCTCCTGCCTCAGCCTCTGTGTCCTGGGATCACAGGCATGTGCCACTGTGCTCAGCCAATGTATTTTAAATACATTATATACTTTAAATATAACAGTAATCCCTTTTAATGAAGAGATTTTTAAAAAATAATATATAGTGTAAGCCGGGTGCCACACACCTGTAATCCTAGCACTTAGGAGGCTGAGGCAGGAGGATCACCATGAGTTTGGCCAGTCTTGGCTACATAGTGAGTTCAAAGCCAGTCTGAACTACAAAGCAAGACCCTGTCTCAAAAAACAAAAACAAAAATAAAAAATAAATTTGCCTCCAGCCTACCTCCTCCATATGCAGTTTCATTCTTCATCACCATGGGCCTCAACCACAGCAATAAAATATTATTGCATATTTTTCTCCCTCCATATATACATGGAGGGGGGCTGGGGATTTAGCTCAGCGGCAAAAGCGCCTGCCTGGCAAGCGCAAGGTCGTGAGTTCGGTTCCCGGTACCGGAGAAAAACCAAAAAAAATAAAAAATAAAAAATAAAAAAAAACATATATACATGGAGGAAAGGCCATGTGAGGACACAGGAGAATGCCACTATCTGCTAGCCAAGAAGACACCCTTGCCAGAGACCAAGTCAGCCCAAACCTTGATCTTGGACTTCTAACTTGCAGAACTGCGAGAAAATAAACTTTTGTTGTTTAACCCACCCAATTTGTGGTGTTGCCTGGGCTGTCCTGGGCTCCAGCCTCCCAGGAAGCTGAGACTACAAGCCAGGCTATTTTCTCCATGCCTGTTGTCCAGCAACCTCCTTGATTCCTTGTCATATGTGACTTTCCATGGAGAAGTTTAGAACATGGAGGGTAGCTTCCCTCAGGAGCAAGCAAGGAGCCACAGAGGTGCCCAAGATGGAAGCCAGTCTTTGACACCCATTCTCAGAAGTGACATTCCAGGCCATGTTTGGTGGTGCACACCTGTAACCCCAGCAACCTGGAAGGCTGAGGCAGGAAGATTACAGGTTTGAGACTAGCCTGGGAAACTTTACAATTTAGTGAGACCCTTTGTCATGTAGCTCGATGTGAAGTCCCTGGGTGTAATTCTAGTACCTCAAAAAAACAAGATAAACAGCCAGGTGTGGAGGTGCACACTTGTAATCCCGGCACTCAGAAGGCTGAGGCAGAAGGATTGCTGTGAATTCAAGACCACCCTGATGACTGCTATCAAAAGCAATAGAAAATAATAGGTGTCAGTGAAAAATTGTAAATATTAGAAACTCATGCTCTGTTGGTGGGAAATGGTATAAAATGGTGGAGACACTGCGAAGTTCCTCAAAAAATTAAACATAAATAATATTAACATATAATGCTCAATTCTAATTCTGGGTATACACCAAAAAGCATTAAAAGCACTTTTGTAAGCCAAGTGTGATGGCACACGCCTGTAACCCCAGCACTCCGGAGGCTGAGGCAGGAGGATTGCCACAAGTTCAAAGCAAGCCTGGGCTGCATAGTGAGTTCAAATCCAGCCTGAATTACATAGCAAGACCCCATCTCAAAAAAAAAAAAAAAAAAAAAATTTATTTGTTTGCTTGAAATAAGCCAGTCACAAAGAGACAATTACTGCATGAGTCCACATATATGTGGTACTTTGGGTAGTCAGAATTAGAGACAAAGAGCAGAAAGGTGGTTGCCAGGGGTGTGGGCAAGAAGATATAGGGAGTCATTGTATAATGGGAGTAGAGTTTCACCTTTACAAGATGAAAGCATTCCAGAGGCGATTGTAGTGATGGCTGCACATTATTTCTTTTTTCCCTTGGTTTTTTTGAGACAGGATCTCGCTATGTAGCCCAGGCTGGCCTTAAATTTGCAGCAACCCTCTTGCCTCTGCCTCCTGAGTGCTGGGGTTACAGGTGTGCACCACCATGCCTGGCTTCGCACATTATGAATTACACTGCACTATACACTTAAAATGGTTGAGACGGAGGGAGGGGAGGAGAGTTGCACATGCACCAACTTCCCAGAGGAATGTCAGCACTGTGTATTGTAAATACAGACTGCTTAAAAATAATTTTTTAAAATGGTTAAGATAATGTTATGTCCAATGTATATTACTACAATAAAAAATAATTTTTTTAGCCAGGTACAGTGATCCATTCCTATAATCCCAACTACATGGGAGGCTGAGAAAGGAAGATTGCAAGTTATAGCCTGGCCTGGGTAACTTAGCAAGACTGTCTCAAAAAAGAAAAAGGCTGGGGATGTAGCTCCATGCAAGGTCCTGGGTTCAATCCCCAGTACCACCAAAATAATAAAAATAGTAATTATTATTATAATAATTTCACACACTTGTAATCCCAGGTGTGTGGAGGCTGGGGCAGGAGGATCACCAGGATCTCCAGAGGATCTCCAGAGGATCACTCTGGAGGCTGAGGCAGGAGGTCGAGTCTTCCCTGGGCTACAGAAGTGTATTCAAGGTCAGCCTGAAGTACATAGCGAGACTACAGGGTCCAAAAGAAAAAAGACCCATGATAAAAGCGTCCGTAGACTCTACTATGAAGACCTGGATGGAGGACAGGGGTCTTAAGAAGATGACACTGAGCTGGGCACAGTGGCACATCTGTAATCCCAGCACTCGGGAGGCTGAGGCAGGAGGACCTTTGCGAATTTGAGAGCAGCCTGGGCTACAAAGTGAGCTCACAGGCAGCCTAAACTGCATAGTGAGAATCTGTCTCAAAAAGACAGAGTGCTGACCCACATTCCTCAAATCTTCAAAACAGAATAGAGGGGCTGGGGATTTAGCTCAGCGGCAAAAGCGCCTGCCTGGCAAGTGCAAGGTCGTGAGTTCGGTTCCCGGTACCGGAGAAAAACCAAAAA